GTAGAATTAAGGCAGTTCTGAAGGCGAAAGGGGGTCAAACACCGTATTAGTATGGTGTTCCTAATAATCCTTTAGGTGAGTGTATATGTTTACTTCAATCATAAACGTAAGCATGAGAACCTCTTATTCTTGTACTTTCTTTTACATTTATTTATTATTAGTATTAATTTGTATGGCTATGACTATACAAGGCTTGGGTGCCATACTGTCCAAATGGGGGGGGGGTCACCCAAGATAGATTTGGTTGAATAAAAATCTCCCAATATACAGAAATTATTACTGCAATAAGGCACAAGTCGACTTGACACACTCACCCCACCTTTCCCAACTAAAAGTCCAACTTTACTTAAATTCCCCCACAATTCATTTCACCAAGTTCCCCACAATAAGAATCATCGAGCGGCTACTGCACCGTTACTGGTAATGCTGAGTGGGGGGGCTGACGACCAAAAACATATATGCATAAACCTTATTTTAGAATATTCATAAAATCATGTCCTGTACAATGTTTCTAGGAAGTTTGAAGAATACCTGTGGAATACATCAAGGTGCCTTAGATGGCTGTGTTACAAGATGGCAACTGCAGCTTGACCTTTCACCCTCTGCGGATGTCCGTCGCTGCAGTTCCAGTTTTGGGGTTATTTATCCTCAGGTCTATCAGGTGTAGAATTTCAGCTGTATATTTGCATCCATATTATGTTTTGTGCAAAGTAGTAATGAGATTCAGTATAAAGTGATAAGATCAAACAGAGTTATCCTGTTCATAAGGTCAAGCATCAGTCTCCTTTCACTCTGGCAACGTTGTTCCAATTTGTCTCAAAATTTGAACAGATCCCGATCTTCACCCATAACATGCATGCGCAAAGGTTGAAAAAGATCTGTCAAATACTTTTTGAGTTATGCTGTGACCATCAAGTGCCACAACTACCCGTATCTTTGACAACGCTATGAACTGTGCTACTTCAATTTTGGTGCAATTTGCCTCAAAATATGAATTGGTTCAAATCTTCACCCTTGAAATATGTCTGCAAAGGCTGTAAAAGATCTGTCAATTTTTGAGTTGTCGCAATAACAGGATCAAGTGTCTGAGGCTGCCCTTCTCTTTGCTATCAGTATGTGGTGCTGTTTTGATTTTAATGCCATTTGTCTCAGAATTGGATCAGGTCCAGATCTTCAGCCTTGCGATGTGTCTGCAAATCTGAAAAAGATCCACCAAATACTGCCAGAATTGGTGTGTACAGAAGATCACATATCTTCCACAGCCTGTATTTCCTTCCATTACTGACACTGCTGCTTCATTTTTGGGACAATTTGTCTCAGAATGCAATGAAGTGTAAAACTTCATCCATTTGTTTTGTGAAGGAGTAATAATATCCCTGATATAATTTTTGCCTTATCACATTCACAAGGTCAATTGGCCAGTGTTGCTGTAGCTTGATACAAATAATAATGCTATCAACAATATCAAAGCAACAACCACAACCACCACCACTACTAGTACTTTTAATAATAATAATAATAATAATAATAACAACAACAACAATGCACCATTTTGTCTATATGAAACATATTTATTTTTTGAGAAAAGCTAAAATACCACGGTGTCACTCGTCTTAAATTAGAAAGATGTTTATGTTAAATAAGTACTCTGCTCAATGCCTTTTGGAGGCCAGTTCAGTTCAGGTACTTCCGCCAGTAATTCTACTCTTTAACCACCACAACAATACCCATTTGTGTGCACACATCCAGACGTAATGCAAAACGCTAAACAATATTTTATTTTATTTTATTTTATTTTAAAAATAAAAAATCACCCTCATTTCACAGTGGATAACAGGTCGTAGAAACGTTTCGCGTAGTTGAACGGAAATGCAAAGCAAACGCTATCTAATCCGTATAAGGCATTTGCCCCGTGGTTTCTTTCTCATGCTCGCACCTCGCACGAAAGTCACTCTATAATTGACTGTACTGTGGCCGGCGCTGCGTAAAAACCACATTGTTGACGGAGGTTATGCATGATTTTTTAAATATAAAATCATATATAAAGGGAGCCTAACAAAAAAGTTATGTCAACCGAATGCAGCAAACAAACAAAACAATCAACCATAAATGTAATTAAACGGAAACAACAATGGCAAAGCAATAAAATAAAGGGATATCCCGCAGTAAATTACTATGTGTTCATCGCCAATATATCCCATTGCAGCCATCATCAGTCCACAGAAGAAGAAAAAAATGTCCTTAAGAAGACCATATACATTTCCTATGAAAACGTGAATTTCCAAATTCATGTGACCCTCCTTTCTTGTGATCAGACGAGCTTTTTCTTTATTATTCAATTCAAGCAACAGCTCCAGTGAGCAGCCGGTGCAGAAAGGCTGGCTTTTGGTTTCTCGTGGAAACCCCGGGCATCCTTATGTTATTAGATCTGCCTGCCCCATTTACCACCACACTTATTCGTCAAGTTACCCTAAATTCGCATGCGTATGAAGAACTACCAGCAAGTGTCACGATCTGAATAAACGGTTTCCATACAAATGAACAAGATTCGTCATTAAATAACCTAAGACTAAACCAGCACTGAGAACAGCTCCCGTTACAGCCCACGGTTCCGACAGTGACTGTCACCATGCGTGTTAAAAAAAAAGATGCATTTTCATCCTCCCATCTCAAACGGTGTTGACTAGCCATCCCCGATTCATTTTGCCAATCCCCGTGATCGTGGCGTGATTTAAACATATTTGACAAGACGCCACTCCCTGCCAGACCAAGACGGCGGCGATACTATGAGATCGGGGTCGCTTGTTGTTGACTACGGCTGCGGCAAGGAAATATACCACGTTCACCAAAAACAAGGCAGATCTGCGCGTAGTTCGGAGCCCGTCTGCCTCACAGCAAACAGCGGCGATGCACGCTTTTATTCTGACTGGGATCGGTCCTAACGGAGGACGGTGAGTACCGGGACGCGCATGAGGAATGCACAACCTTATCCATCTCGCCTTATATCACCCAGATTTCTTTAGCTAATTTAAAATGCGCATTGTTGGATTTGTGCTCGTGTCTTGTGGATGGAGATGGGGGGGGTTGGACGGGTAATGATGTATTCTGTATTTCTGCATTAGTATGTTTTTATCACTGCTGGCTTGCATTTCTTCATTTAACGCGACTGCTTTGTTTTTACTGATTTCCCGCATAGCTGGAAAGGAGATCACCGACGTCCTTATGGGTTATAGCTGGTCGTATTAAGGAGGGCTGCAGGTAATTACTGTGTTAGTATTCGTTGTTGCGCCGAGAATGTTTCAGCTAGTGTTATCGCTACCATTCAGCATATTAAGGTAAAATGTAGTGATCAAGGAAGGATAAATGACATTTCGTAAACCGTTAAATCAAAAATTCTTACCGCATAAAAAATGACCTTCATTACTCACGGAGTAATGTATCTATTTTTCAATTGCGCGATTCATAACACTATTTCACACACACACAAACACAATATATATATATATATATATATATATATATATATATATATATATATATATATATATATGCACGTCTGTATTATTATTGTTCATTTATATTATGGATAGCTCATATGTAACGTGTTGTGGTGTTTCTGGTTGTCATCGTAATAGCAGCAGTAACATTGAAATTGAAATTGTGCACATTTACTAGGTGCTGGGCGCTGTGTTATAGGGGCCTTACACATCATGATAGCTGTCAAGGGGATTTTTTGTGGACACCGACCCCCCCCCCTCCTTTACTTTCCTTATGTTGGAGTATGGAAGTCAGAATGGTGCGCATTAGGTCATCAGGAGCTCTTCTCCTAGCTGCCGGTATAAATCTATAAATTTCCTCCTAGGAACAAGGGAAGTCTCCTTATTTACCCACTGGGTGGTGGTTTTTAATGAAATTTTATTTCCAAGTGGAATGAAATGGGATTCAGTGTAGTGTAACAATCACACAAGGTCGCTTGCTTCTGTATTGTCTTTTGGTGTAATGCTGGTAATTATTATTCACCAGCTAAAAAGAAACTGGGAACTGGTGTTATAATTTGCATATATGTGTGAAATGTAATTTATGTTTGGCACCTTAAATGGAAATGCAATGCAAGTCAAAAGTTTGGGCACACCCGCTGAAAGTATTGTTTAGCGAACAATGAAGGCGATGGAGTTCTGTGATAGATGAACAGCCCCCCACAACATTTACCCAGAACTTGTGAAAACTCCTTCCTGGGTTGCTCCCCACCTCGTGCTTCCGAGACCCCCGTGACCCAGAAGGATAAGCAAGTTAGAAAATGGGTGGTGAACAAAATTAGCTAAAATAGAGAAAAATGCTACTCAGTGTCCAAGCCTCTGACTGGCGCTGTACGATATGTATGTTTTACGTTGTGAACTTGTAAGATGTGTATTCTGTTTGGTTTATGAATACACATATACCCAGGAACCATAAGTCTGTGTGGGGAAATAGCACAAAAAAAACTGTATTCATACCCATGGAAAAACGGGTAGAAAGAGTGAGGTCACCACACTGTCGCCTGTTTCACCTTGTAGAGTTGGTATATATTTGTTTAAGCAATAACTTATCGCTGGGCTCCTTCATGTCTGAGCAGAACACAAGAGCGACACTTTCCGCTGGACTTTCCCTTCCGCGAAACACGTTATATTGCATGGACCGTGGAACAAGGGTGGCATAATTGAAGGGCAGGATCGAAGGAGCGTATTCACCAAAAGAGACATTACCGATTTATGAACACGCACCACAGGTAATTTTCACAGCATATTTTGATTTAGTTTTAGTCTTAGTCTTTTGACAAAAAAATGCAATTTAGTTGTAGTCATATTTTAGTTATTGTTTTTAGTTTTTTGCTAGATTTAGTCCATGAAAATTATACGATATTCAGTCAACTAAATCTGTCTGCTTTAGATTTAGCTGACTAAATCTTCAGTACATACAGTCAATGGAACTAAAAAGTTTAGTCATTAGTCATAGTCAATTTTTTCACATTTCTTTAAAAATGTCACTTAACTGTACAACAACATATTTTGTCCTTGGAATCCATATATAATCAGACATAATTATTCTTTTTAATTTATTTATATATATTTAAGTTTTAGCCTTAGTAAACTTAGTGTGTGCATTAATAGATCATCCATCCATCCATGCGTCAGTCATACATCAGGGGCACTAAGATTCGGGAGCTGGGAGGGAGCAAAAACGTGGATCGTCTGTGGGTCCCCAAGGACCGGATTGAGAAATGCTGTCTTAGGACTGTGAAAGCAACCAGGATCAGCCAGAGGAATCCACAGGACTTGAGGAGGTCATGCAAAGTCTGCCCGCAGAGAGCAGCCCGGAGGTGTCCCTCAATGGGCCAGTGTGATCGCCACACCTGTGCACGCACACATCTGCGTGTGAATGATCTGGGCTTGGCCGTAGAGGGTTCATTTGATAGGACAGGGCATTGTGGACTGCATCACGGCTTGTGAAAATTTTACATACCTCAAAAATGCGTGGGGGTGGGTGATACGACGTGTGTATGCAAATACAGGACAAACCATGTACTTTCAGTGGTCTGTGACTTGCTTGGCAAGCCTGACCTCAGATGGTGAGATCAACTCATTTCCTTTCTGCTCCACAGAGCTAGGAGTTACAGGGGGGGTTGGGTGTGAATGGCCCAGATCCAGACACCCTTTGGTCGGAGAAGGGTGCCGGAGCTCGATGGTCGAGGTTAAAATGCAGAAACTCACGCGGTGCACAGGATACAGTGCAGTTCTCTCTTTGGAAGAAGTGGTTAATTTTTAATGGGGCAGTTAGCAGCTTTCTGAGCTGTTTGCCTTCCGGGGCTCGATGTGTACTTCCCTTTGAATAGGAGGCTAGCTGAGGGTTCGCACCTGTCGGTTACGGCCTCCATCTGGACACCGGAAACAGGTTAAAGATGGAGGAGGAGGGGTGGCGGGAGCAGATTAGGCCCTGTGTACCTTTCCATTCTGCTCCCTTTGTTTAACTGTTTTTTTCTCCTTTGGAAAAATGTTCACTTCTAGGTTACGGTTTAGATAAATACACACATGTGGGTCCAGCTCCAGGGTGCCGAGCAGAATACAGTGTACAAGTCTTTCCCATCCATCTATTTTCTGTAACTGCTTGTCCTGTTCAAGATCACAGGAGGTCCGGAGGCTATGGGCACAAGGCAGGGAACAACCCAGGATGGGGCACCATCCCATCACAGGGCACAAGGCAGGGAACAACCCAGGATGGGGCGCCAACCCATCGCAGGGCACACTCACACACCACTGTGCACACCTATGGGCAATTTGGTAACTCCAGTTAAGCTCAGCATGCTTTGTGGGGGATTGTGAAAGCAGGATACCTAGAGGAAACGCCACAAAGACATGGGGAGCACATGCAAACTCCACACATGCAAACTCCACACATGCAAAGTCCACACATGCAAACTCCACACATGCGAAGTCCACACATGCAAAGTCCACACATGCAAAGTCCACACATGCGAAGTCCACACATGCGAAGTCCACACATGCAAAGTCCACACATGCAAAGTCCACACATGCAAAGTCCACACATGCAAACTCCACACATGCAAAGTCCACACATGCAAACTCCACACATGCGAAGTCCACTCATGCAAACTCCAGACACCCAGAGATTCAAACCCAAGTCCCAGATGTATGAGGCACCAGTGCTAAGCATCACCCCACAGAAGTGCAATGCACATTACATTTTGCATAACTTTTTTGTTTTTAAATACCTGTATGTTTTTCATAATTGTATTCAGTTTCATTATTGGTAGGGGCAACGTTCAACCAGTCGACTCAAAATATCTGTAACTGGGAGCCGTGTGTGGCTCAGTGGACTAAACCTTTGTGCCGGTCACCGGATGGTTGCTAGTTTGAGCCCAGCCTTTGCATGTGTGTGGGCGCTTAACCCCCAGAAGGCTGCACCATGTGACTGGCTTTCATAGCCAGCTAGCTATCACCTGCGGAGAGTAAGTTGGGGGAGGGGTAAAGAGGATTTCCCCATGGGGATCAATGAACTATCAATTATTTTTATTATTACTTATTTATGTATATCTCACTGAGCCAAGCCTCTTAAATCTCCTCAATCTTTGTTGGCTTCTTACTTCTGTACGACATTTTTTGAGGCAGAACTAGCACGACCGCTGGTGCTTACTGTCCACCTAAATATTTTTGTGTTTTCTGTTAAAGGGAAGAGGATGAGCCTGGACTCATGCTGGAGACCCAGTGAGGTGACTTGTGACATCAGGGCCAAGTCTCTGGGGTGACACTGCTCTGAACTGGGTGACTGAGCTCAGCAGCACAGCTTTTAATGTGGTCGGTGGCCCCTTCGTTTTACATTGACGTCAGATAATTACTGTCACCCAGGAAAATCCTCGGAATAAATAAATTTGCATCACTTCAAGAGGCATATAAGCTTAGAATCCATTTGCTTTTTTTGCTGTCTGGAGTTTTGCAGTCTCAAGTTTCAGGTAAGCACTCCTCATATACAGTAGCTGGATCAATATCTGCTTAATACCTTTTAGCTTCCTGCCACATGTGACAGGAATCAAATCAATGGTTATTTGGGAAAAGAAGTAAATTCTGAAAATGACACAGGGTTGTGGGTTCAAATATGCCCACATATGGAGGGCTGTTCTCCTCCAGTTTCTCTAGTGCAGGTCTCACACCTAAGACATACTGGTGAATTACTGACGCTTAATTGTGCCCTGCTGCCTAATCCCATATCTTGGTATAAACCATATAATCTGCCTTGTACTTCAAATACTTTTTCAAAGAGAGGTGCTGAATCACAGAGGTAAGAATAAATACGTAGCTGCTAGCCACGTGACTTTTAAGGTACTTACAGCTGTGGCTGGTGGCTCGTAGTCATGGCTCAGGTGTCAGTAAAGTTAGAACAAAAAGTGATACGAGTGATACCCATTTCTAGAATTAAATTTGATATAAACGTTCACATGAAAAGCTTTATTAATTTAAAAAGGTTTCTTTCTGCTTTCATAGGACAAAGTATGTCATCTGCATCCTTCCACGGAATTCTACGCCCGCTTGTGCTCGTCATCTTCCTTTTGGGTTCTTTTGTGACTTTGTTTTTTATGTATTTCAAACCATCGACCAACTGGCTCTCAGGCCCCATTGAATCTGCGACATCAGCTCTTAAGGTGAAGAATCTCTTTTCTGCAAAGAAGGAGCTGAATCGCACCATTGTTTTGATCTGGCTGTGGCCATTTGGTCAGACCTATGATTTAAGTTCTTGCACTTTATTCAACATTGAGGGATGTTACTTAACGGCTGATAGGAACTTGTACAACAAGTCCGATGGGGTCATCATCCACCACAGAGACATAAACAGTGATTTTTCAAACCTGCCATTAACACAGCGCCCATCTTTCCAGAAGTGGGTGTGGATGAATCTTGAATCACCATCACACTCACCAAAAATTCCTGGAATTGAGAACCTGTTCAATTTAACTCTGAATTACAGGCGAGATGCCGATATTGAGGTTCCGTATGGGTCTATTGTGTCAACGCAGGAAGATGAAACCTTTGTACTACCAAACAAGAATAAGTTAGTTTGTTGGATTGTAAGCAACTGGAATCCTGAACATACAAGAGTGAAGTACTACAATGAACTGTACCAGCACATTGAGATACACACTTATGGACAAGCCTTTGGGGAATACATTAGTGATAAAGACTTTTTCCCCACAATTGCCAGTTGCAAATTCTATCTGTCATTTGAAAACTCAATACACAAAGACTATATCACTGAAAAATTGTACAACCCACTATCTGTGGGCTCGGTGCCAATCGTTCTTGGACCGTCAAGGCAAAATTATGAAAACTTTGTTCCTGGAAGTGCCTTTATACACGTGGATGATTTTCTTTCCCCAAAAGAGTTGGCGGACCATATCTTACTGCTGGACAAGAATGAAGATATGTACCTACAGTTTTTTGAGTGGCGTAAGCACTTTAAAGTAAAGATGTCATACTTTTGGGCAGAGCACACGTGTCGTGCCTGTGATTACATCAGCAAACACAAGGAATACAAGGCATGCAATAACCTTGACACCTGGTACTGGGGGTAAATTCTCAGATTTGAAACAAGAAGGTTCTGTTATTGGGATCAAAGTTATGCTGGTTTATGGTGCAACTGCTGGAGAGAAGAATATTAGAAACAAGATATAAATTGGAAGAACTGCATTGTGGGATGAAAATTTCCATAAGGAAAAAAGTGGCTTATGGAGGTATGCTTTTGTAAAAAACAAACAAACAAAAAAAAAATATATATATATATTCAGTGGTACAACATACATGGACAAGTTAAATTCCCTTGAATATCACACCATAGAGAAGGTTTGACTTGAACAACATGAACATTTGCCACCTTTCTCCATTTCAGGATGCCAACAAGCTTTTAGGGCTACGGACCACAGACTAACAGAAACATAGATATTTACCCACTGAATAGACGTCATTGTATTACCCTGAAATGTACTAATTCCAGCAAACATTTAGTGAACTGATTTACTGTAAGAGACATTTCAATTTAAACATTTTCAAGAAAACCCTATCCTTGGTCTAAATCAAAAGCATTTGTTTACGTTGTGACAAAACTCTTGAGAAATCGGTTTAGTGTCACTTGTGTCGTACTGTATCACGTCTCATTGTATAAATATGTGCAACCAACACAGAGATGCAACTGGTACCTTGTTTGATATTGTATCTTCAGATATTTCAAGGTTTAAAATGGAAAACCATATTGTTTTGACAAATTATGACTATTTTTCATGGGAGATTAGTTATTTTACAAAGAATATATATGGTAAATGTGGAGTGAGAAAACACTGTAAAATAGTGATTTAGGTATGAAGGTAAACCGCAGAGGATATTTAATGGCGAAGATGCAAATGATATCATATACTGTGAATTGTTTTGCACTGTGGGAGAGAGCACTCAGCTGAAGTGATGTGAAACGTATGAGTCTTTGAATGTGGCCAAACAAGGCAGAAGAAACTGTATGTGTCACATGATAGTTCTGATGCCTCTGAAGACATTATGACCCTGATTAGGGTGCGCTTGCATTTTCTCAAAGTCTGATAGATAACGATCTACTTTCTGTGGTTGTCTAGATAGTTTCCTTCCTACTGCTGTGCAAAGCAGTTCCACTTTCATGTTGAGAGATTCCCATAATATTGAGAAACTTAATTATATAGGCTGTGGACAGTCTTCCACACCTACATCCATGAAAAACCTACATGCATAGCTTAGAGTAGGAGACCTATGCTGTGTTATTTGATTTGAAATAGTCCCAGATTTACAGTACTCAAATCAATGACATAGTTTGCTGTTAACTAATAAGAAATTTCTCAAGAGCTACTTTGTACTACTGTAGAAACATTGTAAATTTGGTGGTCATTAAAACTCACATTTTGCATGCTAAAAGAAATTCTGCATTTTAGTAAAAGATAAAGTGAAGATTGTGAAGGTTTGGGTACAAGTCTATATGTCACTGGGGATGAAAGTCACATGGCATTACATTTATAGAGCCTGTTGCAATAAGATATCTGACATCAGTCATTCTATGCAGATACATTTTGTTTTCAAAATATATAAACATGTTTTTTCCACTTAGTGTCAAACACAATGATGTTTAGCTACATTTGTAAAAAAAATACTTATTGTTATTTTCAGGACATCACCAGCATAGTGGTCATTCATATAACAGATGTTCATTAATAAAAAAAAAAAAAACTTATTCATCAGGCTAACTAGCATGAGAATCTGACTGAAATCATTAGTTTTAAATATCTGATTGTGAGAAATAACAAAACATACATTAGACATGCGTATAGACTGGTATTTACCTAGGTTTGGTGGAACTTACTGAAAATAGAACGATTTTAATTAAATCTATTTACCACAGTCTTAAAAGCAGTAGTTCAACAGTGGGCATAAAATTTTAAACATACCTCACAAAGTTTTTCTTAAACAGTTTCTGGTTTCATCTTGGAGTGGTAAATAATAAACAATTCTGAAGAAACATCTGTGTACTTTTATACTACAAGTGATTACTGAAGATAATATGACGCCCAGACTCAAAAATACCCAGAAATGAAGTTGTTTTACTCTCTTAACACTATTTTTATTTGAAAAGCAGAAATGAAAAGCAGGTAGGGTGCTTACACCATTGTTCTTTATAACGTACCATATTTAGATGTAATATAAACATTCCCATTTCCACAAACTGATATTGCTGATCACAAAATAATGTCTGAGGTGGTGTGTAGTGAAGTACCCAGTAATTGCTGGACAATTCAGCATTTATTGGGTTCAATAATATTTGTTGTGGAACGTAAAGCAAAAATAAATGCACAAATAGATGATTAAATAAACAATAAAAATTTAGCTACTGTCACTTTTTCCTTCCATGGTTGTGGTTTCAAATCCAAATACAAGCTGTCAGTATGCGTTGCTCGTCCTCGTTTTTCCTGGGTATTCTTTTGTTCAGAAACTGGCAGGCAAAAAATTTACATGAAATCTCAGCTGAAGCACATTTGTCCTATTATAATTAAGATAAATGTATAGTTTTCTATTGTTATAGCACAATAACATCAGGACTTCATAACCAATATTTCATGTGTAAAAGGAGAGCTCTAAATTGTTGCTTTACCTTAAGTAAGCAAACCAAACTAAATTATAGGTGAAAAATAAAATGCAAAAAACGATCCCTTCTACATATATATCGGCCTCTGACCTCTCTCACCAAACTGCCACTGACAATGTTTTTTTTGTTCGCTTTATCTCTGTAAGTCATAGACACTTCAGTGTGTGAAAATGATGCTGAGACCACAAACAGTTACACTACATCCTTGGCCATTTCAACACAGTAGCTCTGTATGCTGTTCTTTGCGTATGCTGTGTATGCAGCTACAGCTACAGGAGCGGACTGTTCCCCCCAGTGGCAAATTCCCAGGCTACTTTCTGTTACCAGTCTGCCCCTGGATCCATTGGGTAGTAATGTTTTCATCTACAGTGCCAGCACTGGGGAAAATGTAATAATTTCCAATTACTATTTACAGTCCTACACCAAGTATGTCATATGATAATTTAGTCTGTTTCTAAATCTTTAACCACTTTATGGGCAAAGAATGTACTCATCTGCCTGCCGGGGGCAACATCCAAACCTGAAATACTGGAGGTATGACACACCCCACTGAATCACTGTGCCAGACAATCATGTTATGGGACATCCATGCACCAGGGACAGGACAGAAGCCTACGTGTAGCAGATTTGCCATCCAAAAGAGTTCACAGTGTTTTGTGATGTTATCCAAGGAGCACACTTTGTTGGTGGGACCCTAATACGTACAGTATGTGAATGTCAGAATCATATGAAGTCGGGTCGTATTGAATTTTATTATTGCAAATTTGTCCAACAGTATTGTAAATACAACAGCCAATACACTTTTTTTACAATATTTAAGTTTGGAGTATCATTTGTCACTCTTAGTCTTTGGTCACAGTTCAAACCAAAGTAAAGCCATTTGTAAATGACATTCTATTGATATAAAATACATTTGTGGATATGGAGCAGAAATTTATAAAACCGACAAACTCCATGTACAGTATATCGAGTGTAAAATGGACAAATATGCATCATGTTAAATACAGATGTGTTGGTTTTTAAAAAAAAAATATTCAGTGCTGTCATTTGCAACAGGCATCATGCTTTACCGTCGTGAAAATGGTCTCACCAGCAGTTTTTATTTAGTTGAAATTAATAATAGTTATAATTGGAGATGACAAGAAGGAAACCATATTTGAAGTATAGGTGGATTTTTGACAGAATATTATCCAAATAGGGCAAAATTTCTGTGATAAAAATAAATAATTGTAATTTATGGGTAATGCTTTAGTTTTCAGTTTGTACTCATCTTCAAATATCAATAAAATGGATATATGCAATTTATTTCTGTTGGTGCCTGTATTCTTAGTTGAATATTTATGTATTGAATGATTCAGTTTATAATTAACAAAAGTAAAAGTAGTCATGCACAAAATTAGGGGAAAAAAAAAATATTTTCAAATGTCATCACCCTGTGAAACCAACTATACAAAAGAATGTGTTTTTGTAACCCATGACCAGAGAACTTTTTCTTATTATACATGAACATCTGAGCAAAAAAGTACAACGTAAGGTTATTGTTTACAATAGCTTCATTTCTGTAGATAGCTCGTTGCGGTACTTTGCAGGAATTCATGTATTATTTCTTACAGGTTGGAAATTGTAGCACAGTGTTCCCCAATCGTTTTGCTGTGTCAAAAATATTGCAATTGTTTATCAATAAAATGGACTAACCGAAGTGTGCTTCTGTTGTATAAGTCGCGTGAAACCTGAACTCCTGCACAATGAATAAACAATATGGTGCGATGAGTCAGCTTTCACCCTTTGTCATGCATCTCACTGGATTTACATTTGTACAAAGCCAAAGGAGACCGTTAGCCTACAATGACTATTGTATTGGGCAGCCATCTCATAGGCATCATTAGGGCTAACGATTGCCCTGAATGCTTCTATGATGGCCAAAGAATATGCAGATGATTTAGAGGATAAGACATGCTCTATTGTGGAAGCACTGTTCCCTCGTGATATTCCTCTAGTCCGAGATAATGGTGTCCCCCACTATAGACACTGCTAAACAAATTCACGAGTGATTTCACTAACATAAGAATGAGGTCAAGTACCTTCCATGACTTCACCAACCACCTGGCTGAATCTTTCATGGGAGGTTCTGGAGAGCATTTTCAGTAGATTTCCGCATCCTTCATCCCTCAAAAGACTGCAGGCTTTTCTTTCTGAAGAATGGTACAATATCCCATTACACACATTGCAGGACCTGTGAGATAACAGCCACAGAGGGATGAAAGCAGCTCTGAAGGAATGGCGAGGCTGTATTCTTTATTCGATAACAAACCATGAACGTGCCAGTTCGTGCATTTCTAAGGCTGTCCTTAAAGTGAGGCAGTAGCATTATTCAGCGTCATTTTCAGCACAGGTTCCCAAACTATTCATTCCATAACACACAAAATAACAGAAATTCACAACCCCCGCTATGTGGCACGTCTGCCGATGTGTCTGAATAACAAAACCTAAGAGACACTCCCTTGCACACTAAAAATATGGTCTTTGCAGTTTTTTCGGTAAGTCTAATGGTTTAGCATAAAATGGCCAATGTCATCTAATTAGGTCTTAGCCAGCCGGCTAACTTCACCACAGAGTAACTTGCCCGTCGGTGAATACATACACTACCAATAGCATTAGCATGGATTTTATAAGTAGGCTAATTGGTTTATAGCATCGACTAGACGTACCTGTCATCGACTCTCTTCTGTACTGCGCAGACTCGGGCTCCAAATTTCACAACATGGCTGAGGTATTTTTACTTTATTTCTCTAGAAAGGAAGGGAATGAAGGCAGGGTCTCCATGGTTTATATAGTTGATGGGTATAACATAGCCAACAGACAAACTTGGTCTTATAACTATGGAAGAGGATTAGGGCCACAGGATTAGGGCCTCCATGAAAATATTATTTGAATTCTGACTTTTTTTTCTCAGAATTCTGATTTTAATCTCAGAATTCTGAATTTTTTTCTCAGAATTCTGACTTTAATCTCTGATCCTCCTGTGTGCCACGCCACCCTCGTTAACCTCATGTGGAATCCCTGCGTTTACCAGCTGTTTCTTGTTCCTGTCATTAGTCCTGTGTATTTCAGTCCACATTCGAATATGTTTCCCCAGTCCTGTCATTGAAGTCATTACCGTTTTGTGCCTCACCTAGTTGTTTTTTCCTAATAAACCCCTCATTCCTGATTCTACGTCTCCCTGCTCCTGATTCCCTGGTCTGAGCTCACGCTTAGTCATGACAGAATGACAGGACTCCACAAAGCTAAGTTAACCCCCCTGACCGAGGATCGCTACCTCTGCCTGGTAGATGAGGTAAAATACTGGCTCGCACAGTCCAGGAAGATCCCACGGCTTGGGCTCTGGCAAGCCAGAGCCGGGACATTCTCAAGGGAACGTCCCTGGATGAAGACACACATCTCGCAGAAGAGATGTGCGATAATCTACGGCAGCTGTTAAGGAGGGTGGTGGAGTGGAAGACCCAGTAGGTAACTTTCAACAGCAGGATGTGCTCTGATTTGCCGTCGGACCTCCTCAAAACACCCTGACCTCCGCCGACAACAGCTGGCAAGAAGACGAAGAAGAAGAAGCTGAGAGATCTGAGACCGGAGGACGAGCCAACCATCTTCTTGGGGGCTGTCTCCATCTCTGCTTCTTCCCCTGTTGGACATCGAGAGGAGCCGATTTTGAACCCGGCGGTGTTTGCGCCGGAAGCCGTTGCCCCGGAGTGTTTGCCTATGGCTTCACTGCCAGCACCGGCAGCTCACCCCTTTTGGAGAAGGTGTATGCCTTCTGTTTCTCCTGTGTTCCCTCCTGGTCCCTTTGTTCCTCCGGTTGGTGTTCCCTGTGTCTCCTTTTTTTGGTGTCCATCCTGTTTCCGGTTCCCCATTAATGGTTTTGTTTTTGTTTTCTAGGTCCCGTGTCCCCGGTCTCGTCCCTTCACTCCCCTTAGGCCCCCAGTTTGCGTGCCTTTGGGGGGCGTTCTGTCACGCCCCCCTCGTCCGATCCTCCTGTGTGCTACGCCTCCCTCGTTAACCTTGTGTGGAATCCCAGCTGTTTCTTGTTCCTGTGATTAGTATTGTGTATTTCAGTCCACGTTCGAGTATGTTTCCCCTGTCCTGTCATTGATGTCATTACCGTTTTGTGTCTCGCCTAGTTGTTTTCTCCTAATAAACCCCTCATTCCTGATTCTACATCTCCCTGCTCCTGATCCCCCAGTCTGTGCTCACGCTTGGTCGTGATAACTGCCAATTCCCACCACTCATTTTAATGTTTTTTTTTTAATTTTATTTACATATTTACCACCACCAGTTTCGGTTATGGACTTTCTTAAAAGCGGATCTGAGAATTGACTCACACACCTCAACCACTCTTCCTCTTAACACCTGCATTCCGCAAGGCTATGTGTTAGACAAAAACGTGTCACTCAACACGTCCTCAAAAACCAAACAAAATAATAGCAGATTTTAGGAAGTCAGGCAGGACAGGACATACAGCACTTTACATTAAGGATTTCAAGTTATAATGAAATCATCATTTCGTGTTAGTTTGTCATGATTTAATTTGTCAAGAAGTGAGAAAGGGGGGTCATGAAGGAGTTCAGGTGATGGAGGATCTCGCCTGGTCTCTAAACACCAGGCAGGTTGGGAAGAAGGCCCAACAATATGTCTTCTTTCTAGGGAAAATTAATAAGCCGACCTACCACAAGTCCAGAGTAAACAGCACTTCATCTTTCTAGGGAAATCGATTTAGGCCAATCTACCAGAACAACTCCTGAGTAATATGTCCCACAGCACTATAGACAGCATACTCACCTACTCTGGAACTCTATGGTATGCACAAGGGCACAAAACTACCAACTACCAAATATCAACACTAACTGCTGCTACAATGAAGCTCTCAGTATCATAGAAGACCCATTCCATCCCGGACATGAGCTGTTCGAACTCCTGCCATCTGAGAAACATTACAGGTCTATTCCTGCCTGCACAACCAGACTGAAAAATCACTTTTCCCCCTCAGCTGTAAGAGTTCTATCCCATGCTTCAGTGTGCATGTACAGTTTTCCATGACAGTTTCACTTTTCCGTCAGTTTTGCACTAATTAAAACATTATTTCTGTATATTGCACATTTTATAGCCTCTTTACACTACATTTTCATTTATGTATCTTGTGAAATTCATGTGTTTATGTTTACATATATGCTGAATGCGTCAGTGTTTTGTTTATATATTGTTTGTATTTTGCATGTTTTTACTTGACTGGTGTGCTACTAAATTAATTTTTGCTGCTCTGTGAACAGTGACAATAAAGATCCTATTGCATTATTGCCTTCTTATTTTTTGAATGCTCTTAGTATCTTCTCAAATGGTATGATAACAGTAAGATGAAATTCACAATCTTCAATTTTAGGTGTGCTGCATTATACATCAAGCTACTGAACCAAGAAAAATCTAAATCTAAATGCCCATAGATGAACCAGGCAGAATTCAGGTTATGAAGGTTTAAGAACTGAATCTACAGCCTGTATTAAGCTGGTTTTATATACAATGAATAAGGTTACATACACTTTAAAATGTAAATACACATAGCTGTAATGTATGTGGTTGGCTGTGCGGTGTGCTGGATACTGCACATGGAACCACTCAGTTGCCAGAGACAATAATACTTGAAGCACTTGACCCAAGAAACAGCAAATAGTATAGCATCTCTGATTATCACTCCTTTTCTGGATATTATATAAAATCTAATACATATTTGTGGTAATTCATAGCTGGTTATTCGTTTATTGATGAAAAACGCTAGAAACATGTCAGGAAACTCTCAGATACAGCGCATATGGGGCTAGCAATCGCCTAAGCCCCAGGCAGATCTTAATACCAGCTGGCTCGCTGCATACGTCGTTGAGTTGGATATTTGGAAATGCGGCTGTTTTTCCTAACGCGTTCTTCATAATTTAGTGCCATCCTGCGACCCGTACAACGCTGAGTTTATGTTGACGTGTGTCTTTTGGCTACGCAGTTTTAGGCGGCTACCTACGTAAATAGTAAAGCGAATTTCCTGTAAAGTGTATATTATTGTATTATTATACTTAACAATTGCAATGGCAGCCGACTGGGAAGAAATAAGACGTTTAGCAGCAGACTTTCAGAGAGCGCAGTTTGCAGATACGGTTCAGAGGTAACTGCACTGAGATATGGCTAGTTGGCTAACTGGGAACACTAAATTGATTTGTCTAACTTTCAGTTTGACTGTACTTATATTACGTGATGTTGTAATTTTCCCCAAGATCCCGTTTGTTCCGTTACATTGTCTATAAGATCTATTATGTGCGTGATTTACATTTAAATCTTGATACATGCCCGGATGTAGCTAATTGACCTGCTTCTTGAGGAGCTCACTTGTATATTTGACGTGTAAATAAATTGACGACTCCACATATTTAGCCAGATATTAGTTATGTAATCAACACGACTATCTACTTGCACGCAGTGCGTCGTTATATGTCCTGACATACTCGCGGCTCGTAGTATCATGCTAACGTGTAGGCTAAGGCAAGAGGGTCCTTTAAGGACATTGCCTAAGGTGTTATTTCACATGTATAACTGACATTACTGACTAGTGATGGCCCAGGTCTGGTACAAATGACCGCAAAGTACAGAGGCGGAACACAACTGATATTTTCACGAAGTGCTGTTGCTGTTAAAACAAGACGGTCTCGTGCATGCAGCAGAGAGGTGCATGAAGTCAAACATAAAGAGCAAAACATGTAGTTCAGAAAATAAATATAAATACGTTAAATGGTGGCGTTTATGCAATTTACGCAGTAGTGCCTCTAATATCCATACTTGTACCAGAAGCAGCATCTGCAGGGTTGCCAGCTTTGGGCAGCTGGCTAGATTGAGATTTTCAAATCAATGCAAGTGTATGCACACATGTCACAGTCTAATTAACATGTAAATAGTCTGTAGTGTTAACAGTGTTTTTGATGTAGCTGATTTCAGGTTTATAATGGAATAATATAGATTTTGCGTAAGATTTCATGTGCGCGTCTGAAAGTGAAACGACCTCACTTGCTCTCAACTGTCTCCGTATCTCATTAAGAGCAAGATGGCATAGGTGAAAAGAGAATTTCCCCACGGGGATTAATAAACTGTCACTCGTCTGTTCTATAATATTGTGAGATATTTATACTAGTTACTGCTTTTAACAAGACCATAGGCTATATATTGTGTGCAAAGAAGTGAAAGAACTTTATTTTTAAGTGATTTGTGTTTTTGTAAAACCATGATATTATGTCTGTCAAAGTGTATTAGTTTTCGAAAGCTTTCCTAAAGTCAGTACAATATGTGCATTTAATTGTTGACTTGACCACTAGCAAACCATATTCGGCTAATCAGTGCTTAATCAAATTATTTAAATAACTAAGTTTATGACTATCGGTAATGATTATATTAATAATGTTTTATTATGTCAGTAATCTGCTGGTTAACTTGATTAATCAAGTAATTGCTTGTATATAATATAATATAGTATATTGCGATTGGTGCGAGGTGGAAACAAACCCAGGATGGGGTTCTTGCACAGTGCACATTCGCTCTTCCACTCAGCTTACGTTGTATTTTTGTGGACAGTGGTAGGAAACCAGAGGATCAGGCATCAGCTCATGCATGCACACGAACCAGCAGTGTGCAGTAGCTGGGCTACTCACTGGGCTGCCTGCAACATGAGGTTTGCGTGCATGCAACTGACGCATCGCAGAGACTGATAGTCTGCTGGGTAGAAACCACAAATCATTTGTGCCTAAAACATTTTTTCTGTGATTGCAAACAAAACTTAGCAACTTAGCAGGCTTTACGATTTGGATGATGGCTCCTTTTCAATAAACATTATCTAGTATATGTTAAAATATGTAAAGTTTCTCACCTGTGCATGAGCTCGTTAGGGGCTCTCTGAGCCAGCATAAGCATTTGCGTTCTTTCTGTTCGACTCACTCATAGACAGTGTGGTACTTTTCTGAGAAATTTAAACAGAATGGTGGAGGAGGAGAAAAACAAACAAGAACTGCTTGCGAAAAGACATTTTTCTTCAACTGTATGGACTATTTTAGATTCTATAGTGATGATATTGAACAAAAGCAAGTAATTTGTCAGCACTGCTTTGTGTCTTGGCATAACTCGCGGTAACACCACCAACTTATGTGACAGATAGATAAAACAAGTTCCATTTGGCTATAGTTAATTTTCAACTCCTAAATATCACAAAAACCAAAAATATGGCGAATGTTAACTTTTTCCAGTATTATTCGGTCCTACTCAAACCACACAATACGTTCGCAAAAAATAATATTGTATGGTAATTATGTACCGTATGTAAGATGAACCAGCTAAGCGATGTGGCTAACCTTCATTTTAGCAGCGATTATTTTGAGACACTGAAATCGTACAAAGTAATTTAAACAAAATAATTTAAGTCAAATTGATGACATAGGTAAGCCAGACTACTCCGAGAGGCTATATGGCATACATCTATGGCAACCTCGCATTATTAGGTGAGACTGTAAACTTTTAAGACCTATTTGCATTGTAGTTGTGCTTTTGTATCTAAGTTATGCTTTGCAATACTGACAGACGACTGCATTTTCATTAACCGTTAAGTGAGGATCTCTTCCTTCTGTCATATTGCTGAGTAAAAAAGAAGTCAGATTTTGATTGATGCTTTTAAAAAAATCAAGCAATCACGTTTAATCAAATGAGCTGATGGTGAAATTTAGCGGATAAATGGAAAGCCTGCGGTGTCCCTGAGAAGCTGTTTTGGAAGCAAGACTGTGCTGCAGTCATCCAACAAGATTGTAACTTTTCCAAGACCAGGAAAAATTCTTGTTTGTTTATGTTTTTTCCCCCCAGAGAAAATATACACTGACTGTCCAGATAAATATTGGTCATTCTTGCAGCATCACAGAACAACTATAATTACTATATGACTATAATGACTTGATTCTTGGGTTTTAAGTATTTAATGTATCTGTAAAAATCTATTGTATATGAATTGCAACAAAGTTTCAGAAAAAAATTAACTTAAGCGACTTTGCAGGTTTGGTCATAATTCAGACTGGTAAAATCTAACCAAGTTCTTGTATTTTAATATAGTTTATATTTAATTCAGTACTGCAGTCTGTTACTCCCCATTCTTTCCTGTCATTTATCCAGGTTATCAGAGCGGAACTGCATTGAGATCGTTGCCAAGCTAATTGAGGATAAGCAGCTGGATGTTGTGCACACACTGGATGGAAAGGAGTACATCACCCCTGCTCAGATCAGCAGGGAGATTCGCGATGAGCTCTACATACGTGGAGGTTAGTCTCAGTCATAGACACCTCGCAAACCGAGTTCAAGTGTTAAACGGGTTTCATATTGAAAACTTGTACTGAGAAACCGGTGACAGACCATCTTCGCTGTGCTCGCAGTCAGTTTGGAAGTGTTCCAACAGCCCCCAAGGCTGGTGACTGGGGTGAACTGACACTGGGCGCAGATGCTAATTAAATGTCATGATATAAATTGCTTGCTTTCTCGATAATGTTCCTGCAGTTGATTTAATTCTTTTGTCTTTTTTTTTTATTTCACATATTTTTTTAACCAAGGTCGGGTGAACATTGTAGACCTACAACAGGTCAGTAGCCTCCCAGCACAGATAATTTCTTCATTTGCTGTTTTACACAAAATAGATGCTTTAAGGTTTTTTTTTTTGGGAAAGCTAATCATGACTCTGGTTTAATATGTTTTAGTGAAGGGGTGGGCAATCTTATCCGCAAAGGGCCGGTGTGTATGCAGGTTTTCGCTGCAGCTCCCTCATTATATTACTAATTAGAGGACTGATTGGTTGAGGAGTCCTCACACCTGGGTTTGAGCAGCTGACCTAAAGGTTACCCCAAACACCTGCATAAACACCGGCCCTTTGCGGGTAAGATTGCCCAACCCTGTTTTAGTGGCATATCTTAGCTTCTGTCTGGCATCTGTAGCTATTTGATAGTGTATGGTAATTGTAAACTATTTGGGGGGGGTTATGTTTCTCATTTTAAAGGCAAGTTACCTGCCTTGTTTGACCAGGAGGGGAATTTACCACATGTTTCTCTTTGCAGGTTATTAATGTTGACTTGGTCCATGTTGAAAGCAGAGCCAATGATATAGCAAAGTCTGACAGAAACACTCAGTTGGTTCTGGGGCAGCTTATTGATGAGTAAGTACGCGGCGTGATCTATATAAGTGCCAAATATCAGTCCTTCCATGTATAATTCAAGTTTGAAATTTGAGTGCATTGATTTAGTATCAGTAGCAGGATGCTGTCTGGTCCCGGCTTTGGCGTCTGTGCCTGTCATCAGAAGGTTGCCGTTTCGAATCCCACGACTGACAGAGCAGTCGCATCGCCCTTAACCGTGAAAGATGGTCCTGTTGCTCCAGATGAATGGCTGGTCTCAGGCTATTTTCTTTTGTCTCTTAGGAGAGCAAGATAGGGTATGCAAAAACAAATGAATTCCAGTTTACCTTCGCTTGTAGCTGTTAATTTCATATTGACAGTGATCTCGTGAAGGAAGGTGAAATATGTCACTGGTCTCTATTTGGCTTGACATGAAACTTCTTATTAAAGAGTAGATCCCTCAGCATGCATCATGTGTGTGTGAGCTGCTCAACACGGCAGGTTGTGCAGACTGTGAACGTCGCCTTGTCTGTGTGCTCGCCAGGACCTACCTGGACCGGCTGGCGGAAGAGGTCAATGATAGACTGCAGGAGGTCGGTCAGGTCCATGTTGCTGAGCTTTGCAAAACTCATGACCTTCCTGGGGACTTCCTGACTGAGGTGCATCGTGTGCAGACGACTCGCGTTTGACAGCATACAGTTCCTTAAAACACTTCCTCCCATTGCTAACTTACATCACAGTTTGAACCAGTCTTTGTTCTATTAATATCATCACTTTTTCATTGCTATGCTGTGGGTCTAGTGGATGTTTGCCTGACATTTGTCTTAGTGGGTATATTTGAATGATACCCGCCGCAAAAATCTACATTTTTCAGCCATATATAATTTATTTCAACCATTTGTTATATGAACGTATAGTATTATAATTATTGATCATATAAAGTTTCAAATAAATACAGGAAAATATAATATATTTCTAACATTATTCAGGTTCCACATGAGATTGTGATGTGATATTAAGAGAAGCCCCCCCCCCCCCCCAAAAAAAGAAAAAGAGGAGTGCATAGGAGACAGAGGCTGTTTGGTCCATTCAGAGTCACTGCAGGAGTGACCATCTGCCAGCCTGTACTCGCAGGCCACACTGCAGCAGCAACTGGGAGCGGCCGCACTGGCTCCTGTAAAAGAGCCAGCTGCTGCTGTCACACAGTGGAAATGATGCAGTTGTGCAGTTCTGACATTTGAGCGATAAGTCAAGCATCAAACACATTCCTGCATTTTTTTAATAAAGGGAAGCAGCTTTTGTTTATTTCATTGTTGTGCTGGAATGCTTAGGAAAAAAATCTCAAAAAGACGGTAAGTGATTAATATTATTGATTTTATAAAAAGGTTACATTTGCGCATATCTTCCTCTTGTATTGTAACACACCATGCAGTATTCATCTCTCCCCCCCGCCCCACGGCTCATCCTGCCTGATATTTTAATCCATAGGTGTTGTCCCAGCGTCTTGGCCGGATAATCCAAGGCCAGATGGACGAGTATAACCGCGGAGTGATATTCACACAGACATTCCTGGCTCGTCACAGAGCCCGGATATGTGGGCTCTTCAGTGCAGTGACTCGGTAGGCCCTGGTCGTCGCTACCGGGCGGGCTAACTACAGTCCTCCTAACACGGCTTATCCAGTTTTATAGCTCTGTATTAGGCTTGTGAAAATGATCTGTTTGCACTTTCAGTGGTGATGGCCTTGACTTCATAATTAAGCTTTTTTTTTTTTTTTTTTTAATCAGACACTTGAAAACTGAAGCAAATGCATTTCTCACTAAAACATATTAGTATTTATAGGAAATATATTTTTGATTACATGATATTTCTGTTTTTAAAATACCTGTGTTGTTTTCATCCTAGATTGGTGTGGGTTGTATTGCTTTGATAGCAAAATTTTAACAATTGTGACCACATAGGCGTATGTTACTAGTTTTTGGTTACCTTTGGCTAGCAGTAGTTGTGAAAACTCAAGAAGATTAATGTGCCCCCTCCCTCCCACCTTCTGCTCCAACAATATACTTCTTTTCTTCCTTGATCAAGCTTCCAGTATCCAATTACTGTATCTTTCTATAGGCCAACACAACTAAATCATCTGATTAACCTGTATGGGTTCCAGGAACACCTGCTCTATTGTAAGTAGATCTCTGTCGCCCTTGCATTCCACCAAGAGACATTTGTCACCTTCTTTAAATTTGTTCACGGTCCTCACGGCAGGCTGTGTTCCACCGGCGAATCATTTTAACATTTGCCAGAATAATGGCACTTTTCCACTGGCAGAGAGGAACTGTGCCATACGGTGAAGAGAGACTAGTTACAAGGCAGTTCCAGCCCGCTTTGGTTTTCCACTGCAGAAGGATTGGCTCAGTAAAGGTTGGGAGAGCGACTGGCATAAAACCAAAAACTCACTCATTTACTGTTCACACAGGGTGCATTATGATTTACTATGTGCATTTTTTAAATTATTATTATTTTATTTTATTTTTTATTTTTTTTACTGCGTGCTAGTTTCCACTACCATACTACTGTTATGCAAGCATCAAACACTAGCGCAATTAGCATTTGCTTCTGTAACTTTGCATTACGAATCCATTACATTCACTTTATCCACAGTACTAATACTAAGTGTACCAGTACATTACAATGTGAGATACTACTAATAATGAATGATATATATATATAGACTAGGCCCTTTTTTCCTTCAGATAATCCTTGCAAATCGAAGCAGAACATCAGTATCTCCCTGCATTTCGACCAGTCAGATGGTAGTGATTCAACCAGCGCAGTTTGGTCATGTGACCATGTCAGTACCGCTGTGGCTTGGCTACGGCTCACATACTTTACAATGGAAAACACTTATTGGGGACAGTGGAAAAAGTGCCATAATTCTCCAAGAACTCCATAAAAGTTGGCGTCTCTGTGTATGTTAGCTGACTTGAATGTGCGTGGGCGTTTCACAGGCGAGAATAATCAATGGAAGCTTTGTAAGTGAAGATAGACCATAACTCAGTGCTGTAACTTAATTTTGTAATACTTAAGATTCTTTATTGATGTGTGGGAGGAGAATCCCCATCTCATTACAGTATGGTGAACAGATAGCGCATGAGATATGACCAACAGGATGAATTTGTATTTAGATACACTTCAGAATGATCAATAGAAACTGAAATACATCATGAACCCACATTCATATTGTAAGAACTTGTCACCATAACTTTTGATTAACTATGGGTTCCTCATCATGTGCAGTGGAAGATTTCAGACCTTTGGAGAGGGATATAAGGCATTTCAATTTACAGAAACTTGTAAAATGTATTTTTTTAGGCGAGGTGACAAATAGGGGTGCAACGATTATTCGACATTGTCGACAAAAATCGACAATAAAAATAGTCGCCGACGAATTTGATTGTCGATAATTGTCGCCAGACGTATTTTTAAACGGAGTGAGACGTTTTCCTTCCTTTATACTTGTGCAATACTACCGCTTTCCAATAGACTGCACCAATACACCACACAGGTGAGATTCGCTCTTGCACAATAGCATTCAGCAACAGGTAGAAGAATGGTGGCCACAAATCAGGCATCGTCGCATATTAAACGCTCTAAAGACTCAAAGACTTTCTTATGTCCGAAAACAAAGACGAGATCTACAAAAGGGTGAATAGCACGGACTTCTTGTTGTCTGGCGTATCTAATAATAAATAATAATAATAATAAATAATTATAACAACAACAACAATAATAATAGGGCATAATAATAGGCTAGTAGTAGTATATTTTACATTTTCAAAAAAGATCAGAATAGAACGTATTTTTGTTTGGAAGTCGGAGAGCCGGCAGGAAGTGTCTCATTCGCTAAAAATGTAGCTAATAAAGGTCAGAAAACAGTGTAGAAAACCCATTGCTTAAATAAAGAAGGCAAAACTCTGAAGCTCAAGATTCAGGAGAGTGGCTCCGATGTCGCAAGTGCTGCGAGAGCTTATGCTCCCTTAAAAATAAATAACAGCAGTTTAAGTCCATTTTCTTGCTGTTAACAGAGGAATGGCAATGGGAAGCTGCTCTAAATTTCCCGTATTTTGGGTCAGGATCTTGGGATTTTTCAGCCTGCTTTAAAATGAGTTTTTATTTGTAAACATAGGCTATATAAATAGCTGATATGACAAGAAATTACCGTGCTTTTTAACCCCTATACCGCAAATGAAGTACGAATTAGCGTATTAAGGTTAAAATGCATGATAATTTCTTGTCATATCAGCACAAATGCACATAAAATACGTATTGCACTGTCACAGCAAAAGATTGCCGCACGTATCGCTTATAAAAGGTGAATGCGTACTTGCGTACCAGTTATATGCAGCCCTGATTATAACAAATATTGTATCAGAAATTCGGATCGGTGCCGATCCAGACCTATTTGACGGATCGGGTATCAGCCATGTGTGACCAATCCACACCCTATACGTACTTATTTAGTTTTTGGCAATCTCTAAAAAGAAACCTCCCATTTCGTGTTAAATCTATTTGCACAATCAATCGCACGACAGCTTTTTCCCATTTTACATGTGTTGTTTTGCGGCATTGATGTCGAACAATAACCTCATGCTAAATGTAAAAGCTGGTAGCTAAATAGGAGCCATTTTATAATTATGCAATTTATAATCCGATTAGTCGACTAATCGTTTTAATAGTCGATGACTAGTCGACTATCAAAATAGTCGTTAGTTGCAGCCCTAGTGACAAATCGACATTAGTGAAAACAGTGTTTCTCAAACCAGTCCTCTGGGACCCAAGACACTCCCATGTTTTTGCTCCCTATCGACTGGACTGTCTGACAGGGAGCTGGGAGGAAGCAAAAACGTGGACTGCTGGGGGGGGTCCCCTATGACCATGTTGAGAAACACTGCACTAGAGCATTTCATTTACAAAAAAGATTTGTTATGCATAAAGAATTAAAATTGCATGCAAAGCAGTGGAGATGGTATGTTTTCTGTGCAGGTCTGATGCAGTTTGTTACTGGGATGTTGCCATGCCCTCAAAAGAGCTGGGCATTTATCCAGCCAGAGCAGGGGGTATTTAGGGTTAACCAGCTGCCAAAGCTTAATACATCTGGCATTGAATTTATGTTCATACGGCTAATCTTTAAGTTAGTTTCCCAAACTACTAACAAACAGGCACAGTAACCCGCGTTTTTCAAATCAGTGGGTGACAGGTGAGGTGATTATTTTTATTTATTTTTGTGGCTGGGGTTTGACAGCTGTGTCCCTTTTTCAGCTTCCTGTCACATGCTGTGTTCTGGAGCTAGAGGCCAGCTTTCCAGAGTTGTGCTTCCCCGTCAGACTGAAATTTAGCCGGGTAGAATTGACGCTTTTAAAAAAAACAGCCATGTAATCATGGTGAGCATGGGGTGGGGCACTTTCATAGTATTCTCGAATACCTGAGATAGCTAGCCCACCTACAGTCCGTGCAATTTCTAGGATGTGTGAATAAATGATGAAGAGATTGTTTTACTGTTGTCTGTTTTTCTGCACTGGTCATTACTTTGTTGTTTAAATGGGTCTGTGTGGAAACAGCACCTTGTTTTACCCGATCACTCTGCACAACCTCTGTACTTCAAACAGATATTTTGGTAACAGTATATTTAAAGCATCCATGTATAGTGCATTAGAGTTACCTTCATAATGCATTATAATGGCTTATACTGACCATTATAATGGACTATGAAGGTATCGATAGTGTGTTATAGATGAGAGCTTCACAGAGCATTCACAATGCATAATAAACATGGCTATAATGTGGTATGCTATTTTATAAATGGTTCTAGCCATGTTTGTAGTACTGTATGAATGCATTATATTGCATTATGAAGTTATCTATAGTATATTACACATAAGTTATTTAAGTAAAGTCTTACTGATATTTTCAGTACAAGGTACATTTCGGTATCTGGCGCCTCAAGACTTTCTCGCTGGTATCAATAAAGTTGATGAAAATGTTGGTCTGTCTTCATATGTATTCTGGGGGATGCTGTTAAGTGTTAACCATGCCGGCACCCCAAAGCACCGTACTGTCTTATTGAGCCGTCAGTGTGTCTCTCGTTTGTCAGCCGTCCTGGAAGAGCTGGTGAATAGCAGCCGCCTCAGAGGCTCCGTGGTTGGCGGCCGGCAGGATAAGGCTGTGTTTATCCCGGACATCTACTCCAAAACGCAGAGCAGCTGGGTGGATTCCTTCCTGGAGCAGAACAGATATTTGGGTACACTGATATTTGGGTGCTTATGTAGGGTGTGATAACTGGCTTTACTGTGATGTTCAAAATGCTGAAGCTCACTGCAGTACCCAGTGGTGGTAATTGTTGTAACGTCGGTAGTGAATTATAAATTAGTCAGACAGTTGTTGTATGGTGAATGCATCATGCTTATTGTTAGTAGGGACAGCATGCATGAATGCATGGCCGTAAATTTTGGGGCGTATGGGGGGGGTTGCAACCCCAAGAATAATCAATACCAGCCAATACAGTCCCCTGGACCCCCTTAATAGGGTGGAGACCATATATATATATATATATATATATATTCACACACACATAAGAGTATGTACAGGTAGTAATATAAATAGTCAGAGTGTGTGACTCTGTTGGTGAGAGCGGTGCATCTAGTGACTGGCTCAGTTCCCACGGTCCGCTGAGTGATTTCACCATTGGGCTCTTGAACAATCGCTCCAGGAGTTCTGTCCGACTCGACTTTCTCAGCTGTACAGTAGGTCACTTTGGGTAACAGCATTCACTAAATAACTGTACAATGTATTTTATTCAACTAATTACTCCAAAGGGCCTTAAAATGGTTCTGTTTTGCCTCTGTTATATATCTTAATACTCATTAAAGTGTCTATGAAGAAGTAGGATTTAATGTCAGGGTTCCTCGCTGTGTCTGCAATCATCAGACTTTAGCATCTATTTATTTAGCAAACACTTTTATCCACAGCGATGTACAGTTGAGGTAGCGGGGCCCAGTAGTTCCTGGAGGAAAATGGGGTTATGGCTCTTTCTCAAGTGCCTGGTGAAATCACTCTGCTGACCCTGAGATTTGAACCAGCAACCTTCTGATTACGGACCCGCTGAGCTGCTCAGCTCCCCTTCTGTAGGCCTCTTACAAACACGTGCTGTACTGTAAGGCCAGCGCTGGCCCCTTGTGTCTCTGAGACGTGGCTTGGTTTGGGTCTGCGTGCAGAATTCGACGCGTTGAACCGCCTCGGCATCCCAGATCCTGTCGGCTACATTAAGAAACGCTTCCGCGGGAGAAAGCTGCTGTTCCTGCAGGCTTCCTGCGTGGACCAGACCATCATCCAGCAAGTGGAGGCTTCTGTCGAAGAGGCTGTCACCTCGGGCACTTGGATTGACGTGCAGGTTTGTCTCTGAGCCCAGACCAGTTGGGACTGACGACATATCTGGGTGTTTTTTTCTCTGTAGATGCTCTTAAGTCCGTAGTGTGGGTGCTAGTGTGTCTTTAGTCTGCTCCCCGTACCACTCCGATTCAGCCCCTGCTGCCCAGCTGTCTGTCCTCGGAGGACGTCGCCATCTTGGTGAACGAAGTCATGAGGGCCGCGAATGTGCAGTCGTCGGCCCGGCTCCTGTGCGGGACCATGGTGGTCAGCGAGAAGTTCATCAGCAGCTGCCTGAAGTTCTTCGAGCAGTCCATGCAGCAGAAGGCCCAGAAGGTAAGCCTGCCGCCTCCGTAACCATGCCAACCATGCGAGGATGGAAAAAATGTCAGCTTCAACTTCTGCACTAATAACCCCATTTTCCAGCTTCTTTGATGAGTATGACATTACTTCCCTGGTATTTTTCTTAAATGTTTACTATATGAGTTACATTTGGCTGCTGTGTAAGTCTTCTTTCTTAGGGACTCGTTAGTGGAATTTGTTTGTTTATTTTTATGTAATTGCATGAGCGTTGCGGTTCACCGGCAGGCTCCTTCGGGTTCGTGATCTGCCTCCTTCGCCATCTAAAATATCTCATCTTGGATACGTTTTTTTGCGTTGCCGTCCTTGCCAGGAAATCAAGAACAACCCAGTATTCCTGATATCCGAGGACGACCTGAAGCAGAACCCCACTCTGGCTGACACGGCACCCCCTGGGAAGAAGGACAGGAAGGAGGAGAGGAGGAAGAAAGCGGCAGGTGCGGTCCGCCGTGCCTCCTGTCTGGCGCTGCGTGCGGGGGAGGGAAGCTCGGGAGGGGCGGGTGGATCGCTGCCGGAAGGGTCACAGCAGACGCGATTGCATGTGGGCAGAAAATAATTGGAAGGTTTTGGACAGGGATAAAGAAAAGTTTAAGGATGACGAGCAGAAAAACCCACAGTGAATCTGGGCGGTGAGCTGCCTCAGCCGTCGGCTGTTTTGTTTCGTTTTTCCGGGGCTGCCTCTTATTAAGCTGTTTAGTGCTTCTTAGTGTGAAATCCCACCCCTTCCCTGTGCCAAAAGAGGGCAGCGGGAGCACGAAAACGGGAGGAGGCGGCAACGCCAGGGAGATCCGGATCCGGAAGACAAAGAAGAAAGGCAGGAGGGATGAGGACAGCGACGAGGAGGCGGCGACGGCCCCACAGGGTAGGGTGAGACCCACACACGGCGGTGGGGGTCCGGGCCCATCTCTCGGTTTTGCGTATGTCATTCTCGAATGCGATCCTGGGCGGTGCAGCTGATAACCTGCAATTACATCTCTCGAAGAATGGTGTAATGCCCCTGAGCTTAATTACAGAGCTCAATTATATCCCCCCTCCCCCTTCTCTCCCCCACATAGGCCGAAACAAACAAGCCGAAGTCCCTTTCATGTCCCACGAGCAGGTGGAGGCCGTCCTACAGGAGCAAGTGTGTGACTGTCCTGAGGAAATGATCTCGGAGCTGGCGGAGCACATACTCAGGTCTGCGGTTTGTTTTCATTTACGTGCCCATTTATCGGCATGGCGCTGACACAGCCCTGCCTCCAGGGGGCGCCCAACTTATAAGCTCCGTGTCGTCCCGTGCGGCAGGCCGCTCACCAGGCTGTACCAGGAAGTCGTGCGGGCTGCCTTCTTGTCGACGTCCGGCGCCGGTCCTGGGGCTGGCCGGAAGCAGAACGTCAAGGAGCTGCAGGAGGAGATCAGCAACCTGTACAACAACATCAGGCTCTTCGAGAAGGGCGCCAAGTTATTCCCAGGTAGAAAAGCTACCTTCATCAGAGAGAAACTTTTACGTCTTCAGTCTGCTATTTGCATATCATTTTTAAGAAGGTTGCACATTTTACTGATGAAAATATTTCATCTTATTTCATGACCCCCCATGCCAAATTGTCCCGTGAATTCTTGGCTAATACAATGTGTGTCGGGGCTGAAGGGTCAGTTTATAGACTAAATGTAATCCAGGCCTGTTCATGTGTTTCTGGGATAATAGGAATATCGTGAACATATACAGAATAGCGTGTTTTCTCTAGTGCCCAATTTTATACTAGCAATCGGCAAAAGGTCATTTTCCCCACATAATTAGCACACATTTAATACAAATCAATAATTAATTTGTGATTATGCAGTCAACATAATGAAAAGCACAGTCACTAACTAGCGAGAGAGGCGTGCAAGCACAAAGCCTTACCAGCACGCATAGAAATATCGCCTTTGTAAGCTTGATAAAGCAAAATATATGTAAAAAGAAAAATATTGCAATGTGTTTTGTCAACAACAGAACATCAGTACGGTTTCACATCATTGCTATTATATTTACAGTATCTGTGTAACGTTAAAATTGAAATTTAGTAAATATGCATGCATTTGTTTTATTTCTGACAAAAATGAGAGTGAGTGTTTCCCAGTGCTTGGGAAGACATATCCTGGGTGTGGGGTTTAAGTTTGCCAGCCCTTTGCTGTGGGTTCAGCCCCTCTGTGCTTTAAGATGTTATCATAGGCTTATAGTCTGTGCTTAATTAAGATCGCTTTTCTTTAATCTGTAAAATCTGCACCCCCACCCCTTCAGATGAAACCCAGGCCAGTATTGCGAAACACGTCCTGAAGACCGTGTGCACAGACATGACCAACGTCCTCCTGACCTTTGCCGCGGCTGAGTTCATGAGCGCTGTGGAGTCTCCCGGCTCCGTCACGAATGAAGTGAGCAGCCCCCCCCACCATGAGTTTGACTTTGGCGCTTGTTTTTTTATCAGCGTCATAATTATCGTGTGTCTTTTAGGTGAGGATAAGAATCCTGGCTAAGCTGCCAGAGGACACCAAGGCACCAATGATGAAGCTGCATAACAGCCTGAACGGAAGAGTGAGTCTCCGCCGCAGTTGGTGATAGACTCTCGGGATTGAAAGGGCACAAGCCAAAACCATCCTCCCATATTCAGTCACTGGAGTGTATCACAGCGGCTGCTTTTTGGTAAAGCTTTAGGTAGCTGTTGTGGTCACAGCAAGTCAAGTCGTTTGTCGACCGGACATCAAATTCATTTATGAACATTAATGAATCTTATCATTTACTCCTGGCAGGGTTTGTATGGTTATGAAAATCATGGAATTAAGAGATTCCGTTTTCCAGACCTGTGAAAGTTATGGAAAATAAAAAATATCAGAGTTTCGGAAAAGTCATGGGATTTTTGAGAACTACGTTATTTTTTTTTAATTGACAAATCGCAGTATATCCCGTCTCTCTTGAGCGGTATCCCGCGTCAATGCAGGTCGGGAGTATGGTTGGCCGTTGGGACAGAAAACGAGAGAGAATACATCCCGACATGGCATTTTTCCCCTCTCTACAGTACGTCTTGACACGTAATGGCAATGCCCCTAAATGCCAATACGTGTCAACATGGTACAAATGTATATGGGGAGCATGTGGCTCAGTGGGCTAAGCAAGTTGAGGGAGGCGTAAAGACAGTTTACCCACGGGGATTAATAAAGTATCGATTATTAGATTATTATTATTATTATTATATTTTCAGTACTGAGTACTCAAAATTTTCCATTCCAGGGTAAAAGGTTCAGGCTGCAATTCATTATTATTATTTGTTACTGTACCGTGTCTCTCGTGTTGTATTCTTTTTACCATATGATAATATTTCAGCTTTTAATCATAACTACTGATACTCAAAATTTCAACTAAAAGGTCTGATTTGCTGTAATACAGTGTTGTAAGCAAAGGCAACAATCTGTGTAAATTTATCATTAAGTTTATTAGACATTATTTATGAATTCCATCCTTATTACCCTGGTGTGACATAAGCTCAATATATACATTATAAATGTATCACAAAAGATAAATGTAGTAATAATAATAATAGTAAATAATCTTGAAGTGTATCCAATGTTACAGAATGTGTAAGATTGAAATGTTAGATGCTATAAACAAATTGCGTGTGCGATTGCGTGTGCGACTGTGTGTGCTGCTTTGAGACGACACAGTGCACTTCGCATATAAACGCTTCATGTGCTGCCTGTGGAAATGACTGCTCTTGAGTGCAAGCTAGCAGAGATATTAATATACAGAATGTGTAAAGTTCAACTTCAAGTGTCAGACAGCGTGAAAAAAAATGTGTGTGAGAGAGTTGGTGCTATTCAAGTGGTTAAGGGAAAGAACACATTTTATATTTAAAATAAATTCACAATTTGTGCAAAGTCATTTCTATCTTACAATTCCATTGCTAACAGCTGCAACACACATTATTATAAATTATTTATTATTATTATTACTCAATATTGATTGTTTCTTGTTACTGCAAATATAAGGAATAAATTAATGAATTTCTGTCTGGTGATAGCTAGGATAGTCTAGTTGGTTAATAATTGTTCAGCTCACCATTATTACACCAGATGGAAATTAAACTATGCAGCGTTTTTGATGTTGTGCATCTGAGCAAGAGAGAAAAGCAACATCCATATCTGTAAAATTATGTGCAATGGTAGGTGCATCCATATCCAAAGGATGAATGCAAGGTAATAGCACTTGGTTCCCCTACATGAAGTATATGTTGGGCCGTGGTTAGTCAACGTCAATGACGTCAACACTGAAAATGTGTCAACATTGATATTTAAAAAAATATTTTTATTAAATTACCTTTGTGATTTCTAAAATGCTTCAATTCATTATAAGAAATGTTTTCCTCTAATATCACTAGGTAATTATGGGATTAGTTCTAATTATCACAAAACAAAAAGGTGGTTTTACATCGTGCAAAGTTTTAGTGCCATACTACTGTGATGGCACTATACACGAGCGCCTGAAGAGAAAACACAAGTGCTATTCTGCATGATGGAACACCAGAGTAGGCTAAACCATGTTTATTAAATTTTAAATAACTTTTGTCCTTGTTGCTGTTAAATACTATCATTATTAAAGCCATAAAGATACGCTGAATTTATACTGATTAATAACTTTTGCCCATGACAATATGCATTCCATTAATATTTGAGGCATGCTACTAATCTGTTTATCGAATTGTGGATGCAAATAATGTCCTTATAGTGCGGACAAGCCAGAGTCCATTATCTAAAGCCCTGCAATGACATAGTTTGTTGTCAAATTTAACGTAAATGAAATGGTCAGTTTCATTTTCTGGATCGCTTAGATTAATCGACCAATCTGTAAAATAGTTGATAGATTAATCCATAAAAAATAGTCGTCAGTGGCAGCCCGAGTGTCAGGCGACAATGATCACATAGCAACTTGGGGGTTGAACAAAAAAATCTTTGAATTGATTCTTGGAAATTTAGCTTGAAGTCGTGAAAAAAGTCATGGAAATTTGTTGATCGAAAAGTGTACGAACTCTTTCCTGGGCAAAAATAAAAAAATGGGCCAAACCAAAATTGCACAACATTATGCTTTGGTCCATTTCCACCATGCCAAAAAAGTACACATAGGGAATTTTAGTTTTAGTTGTATGCATGTTACACAAACCATCCATATTTGCCGCTTTTTAAATTTTGTTGTACTCTCAAGCATCCTGATATCTGTGTCTGATAGTGGTTGACCACCAGTTAGCACCTTCGTTTAGGGAAATAGGCTTAGATTAGCTACAAACCAAGATAACAGAGTTGATGCCAGAAGCATGCGTGCTTGAGGGTGACAACTGATGCCAGACGCGTGTATGTTTGCGTGTGTCTGGGAGTGGTGGACAACTTGATATCATTGATTATCCGAGTTCATAAAAATTTAAATATGGCATATTTTTTTCAGAAGTCACCCAGGCCTAATGCGATGTTTCTACCGCTCTAGCAGTTTTACGCAGTTTTACGCTGTTCATTTTATTGGTTGTTAGCTTTATTCCTGTCTCACTGCTCAGCCAACTGCTGGGCAACTTTTCTATTGCAACTTTTGTCTGCTTGTGATTCATGTTTAGCACCACAGTCAATGATGTTAGAGCGGGAACTGAAACTGATCACTCCACGGTTATGAGTTTGCATCCCGCACTCTAGTTACTGCCCTGTGAATCTGTATGGCTGTCCGTGCTGGAGTCAGCACTCTGCAGTACCTTGATGCTTCTCAGTATGAATTATTAAGTATTAAATATCAGACCCATGTGAAGCCCTGAATGAATGCATTTCACAGGAACAATGGCGCTTTGACACACTGTGCTAGGTTGGAGGTGAAGTGTTTGCAGTTTGTCTCTGTGTGTGTTTTTTTAAGAGCATTGAAGACTTCCTGACCTACTTAGAGCCCTCTGTTGAGGTGTGTGGCTTCATGCTCAAGAAAGGAGACAAGAAGCGAGAAAGGTGTGGAGAAATTCCTTCAATGACCATTGTGACCTCTTTAGTGTTTGTTCATTGTTTACATTAATTGCTCCTTTGTTCATTGTTGATTGTAGTTTTTTCAGTTGGAATGCAATTGTTTTGTTGAGCCGTGTGGAATATACTTTCCCCAGTATACCCTAATAATGTGATATTAAAGACCTCTTGAAAGTTCATTTTAGTTAAATGCAATTATCAGCGCTAACGTGTATCGAGTCCTTAATTGTTGGTTTAATGATGGTTTAATGCCATTTATTGGACCATTCTGGTAGCTATTTCCCAGGCTGCGAGGCAGGCGGAATGTGATCGCAGTGCTGACATCCACGGCGTTCTGTTCACGCAGGCAGGCCTTGTTCCAGCATCGGCAGGCTCTGACGGAGCAGCTGAAGCAGACTGAGGAGCCGGCGCTGGTGCTTCACCTGACCAGCGTGCTGTTATTCCAGCTGAGCAGCCAGTGTGCTCTTCACGCCCCCGGCCGCTGCGTGCCCCAGATCATTAACGCGCTGACTGGCCGCATCCCCGAGGTCTGTGTGGAGGAGTGCCCGTATGCCAAAATTAATAAATGAAACACAGAAATAACCCCTGGATGTGATTCTGGATCCCGCAGAGCTCTCGTCTATCAATAGTACCGCCTAATTATGAGAGACCTTGATGTCGCTATAAATGTCGGAGTCTCGGGTGCATTTTTTGTTTTTCCGGCTTGCGATTGGTAGAAGTGGCTCCTGCTGTTTGAGGTTAAGCAGCCGCGTCACGCTCTCACGGCATGTCGATGTCCTGTAGGGTCAGCAAAGGCTCCTGTCCCAGTACCAAGCCCTGGTGGTCAAGCAGCTGGTCAGCCATAGCAGGAAGCTGCCCCAAGGTGAGATGGAGGGCGATTCCGGGGCCCCCCATGGTGATGACATGGACGCGGTACGCAAGGAGCTTCTCTCTTTGACCAATGAGGTGAAGGACCTCGCGTTGTCGCCGAGGAAGACATCCGTTACGGAGGACTGAAGTACTGTGCTGTGCAATGAATGCGTTGCTGAATAAATTGTTTCTCCAACAATGAAAGGGTGGCCGTCTCATTATTAGGCTAAACCTTGCATGACTGGCTAAGGCTGCGTGTGCTTAGAAAACGCGTAGCTGGGGGTTTCCGGTGATTGGTTTTAAAATGGAAATGTGTCGGCCCCTTGTGAAATAGCTGGCTCAAGCTTCTGTTTCACCACCAAACGTATCACAAAAATGCATGAGAAACTCATTTCTTGGCCGTGGTACTGTCTGCCGCTCGTGAAAGCGGGAGCCTCATGAAAACGTGTCATCAAAAGTGCCTAAACCTGTGAAAAGGGACTCATTTTGTCTTCATGTACTTCGTGTACATGAAGACAAATGTACTTCATGTACTTGCATAAAAGTTACGGAAATGAGATGTTCAAGGTTTCACCCTCCATTCATGTAGTAAAAGTGACCAAACAGTTGAATTCTCTTATTTCACAAGTTTTTCCCCAATTTTTATTTTGTTTCCATTTCAAATAACGGGGATGGCTTGTGATTTTATGTAACCATTTTAATCTAAACCATGTTCACGTTGTCATCACACTCCACAGAGGACACTAAGATTATGTTCACTGGCCCCAGGGATATTAAATCAGACTTGTCATGGTCACCCCAGTGTTAAGTCTAAGGAGACTTACTCCAGAGATCTGTCATCACAGGTCACAGTGACTGCTAGACTAATTTATACCAAAAGCTATATTTATGAAATTGTGTTTGTCCTGCATAATATCCTATTATACCTTGTGCATAATGCTTACACACTGTACCTGCATTGTTTTAATGGCCATTTATTTGTAATTGAGGATGAATATCAAACAAATGAAAGTGTTTGAGAATGATGGTGTCTCCGCTGCAGCGT